GGAGTTGCAAAGAGAGCAATCCCAATGCAAGACAGATAGGGGTGGAGAGGGAAATATATCTCTTGTTGTGGGGTCAGATTGTAGGTGGCGGAAGTGGAGGAGAATGATACATTGGATACAGAGGTTGGTGGGGTGATATGTGAGCACAAGGGGATTCTGTCTTTATTTTTGTTTGGGAGAGGGGATGTGAAGACAAAGGTGCAGGAATCGCAAGAGATGTGGTCAAGAGCATTTTCGACCACCGAAGGGGGGATGTTGCAATGCTTGAAATATGAGGACATCTGGGATGTTCGGGAGTGGAACGCCCCATCTTGGGAACGGACATGGCAGAGGCAGAGGAATTGGCAGTAGGGGATCGCATTCTTGCAGGAGGGTGGGTGAGAGGAGGTGTATTCATAGAATCACAGAATCCATCGAAGTAGCTGTGGGAATTGGTGGGCTTGAAATAGATGTCCCACTCTCTGGAGGACATGTCCATTCTGGGCCTCCTCCAGTGTCGCAATGACGCCACCTGGAAACTGGAGGAGCAGCACCTCACATTCCGCCTCGGGAGCCTATAGCCTGAGGGCCTAAATGTAGACTTTACTAGTTTCAAAATCTCCCCACCCCTGGCCTCATCCCATACCAACTCTCCTTCTCATCCCTGCCTCCTTGACCTGACACAACTTGTCCATCTTCTCTCCCACCTATCCACTCCTCCCACCTCACTGACCAATTCCTACCACTCCCTACCTGCACTCATCTATCACCATCCCACCTACCTTCCCCAGTCCCACCCCTCCTCTCTTTATTTAATTTGGAGTTCCCTTCCCCGTCCTCAATTTCTGAAGAAAGATTCTGACCCGAAACGTCAACTTTCCTGCTCCTCTGATGTTGCCTGGCCAGCTCAAACCTAGCTGTCAGACTGAGTGACCTCTCTCAGCTCTCATCTACTTGCCTGGTACTCAATACCACCCATCCACCTAACTCCCACACTTCACTCACATACTTACCTTCTCAATGTGGCTGTCAAAATGGCTGACTGTGCTGCTGGGCATTTAACCTCAGCCTACCATGCACTAACTGCTGTAAAAGAAGATGCTTGTTTCGATGACAGTCTGCTGGTGCTGATGTTTCCTGGACAGGTCCCAGCTGTTTTGTAGCTAGATGAATTGCTGGGGCAGAACAAATCTAAAGGTTTCTTTTTAAAATCTGACCAGTGTTCAGAAATGGGGTTCCTAGCCTGGATGGAATTTCTGGGTCACTGTTTCACTGTACCTGACGCCAGTGCTGCAGTAACTGCGGCACCCTGAATGCATACTGGCATAACAATTGTTGTGTAACACTTTCTGAATTATAAACTAACATGATATCATTTCTGAGATAGCAAGAACTGCAGATACTGGAGTCAGAGATAACACAATGTAGAGCTGGAGGAACACAGCAGGTCAGGCAGCATCAGAAGAGCAGGAAAGATGATGTTTCGGCCGGAGACCCTTCTTCAGAAAATGCAAGTTCTTTCTGAAGAAGGGTCCCAACCGGACATGTCAGCTTTCCTGCTCCTCTGATGCTGCCTGGCCTGCTGTGTTCCTCCAGCTCCACAACTTTCTAATTTATGATATCATTCTTTCTTTTTCAAAAAAAGATCTTCTATTTCAATATAACTGTTTCAATCGTAATCCTTTTCTTTTCACGTTCTTGGTATTTCTCATCCCTTTTCCACAGGAGAATGTCCTGGCTCACTTTAAGGCTAAAGGGTAGACTAAGGAATTATTATAAAAGAAAGGATGTGTTGAATGGTGCTGAGAAGATTGCTTGCCAAGTTTCACATTCCATTAGCTATTGCTGCAAGAAAGCTTGTTGAAAACCTTTGACTCTGCCAATGCTGGCATGATCGCTTCCAATGTTGGAATAGGTTAGCGATTCCTCTTTGTTGCTCGATCAAGCTCTTTCGAGTCCTGGCTAATTCCTAGCCGCCCATTTAGCTTTTCTCTCACCGAGATGGAATTTAACCAATCTATAGGCTCTGTGCTTCTGGCAATCAATTTCGTTTCTTTCATCTCTTAAAGCTCTCTTTCAAGCTTTCCTTTCAGTTTTGTTAATACTTTACACAGGGATGGATCACTGATTTCTTCACTGTTTCAACCATGATGTGATACTCAAAATCTTCAAAGCATCCAATAGTTTAGTGGATAAACCCTTGGATAAACTGGCACTAGATCTCCCTGATGCTGAATAGAGATTACTTTTAATTAGCCGTGCCCATTTTCTATTGTATACTTGGTCTGGTTATGTTGTGAAATAATGTTTGGAGAATCAGCTGAGCTTACTGAAACACTAACTTTATTTAGTAAACATTTTACTATGGTTTCATCTTGCTATGGGACTTCAAGGAAGACCAAGAGCTTGAGCCATTGCATGTCTTGATAATGCACACTGTGTTTCATGAACATATCACACAGTCAGACCTAAGCCCTTGTACTATATCTCTCCTCAAGTCTATGATTTTACCCATTATACTACATCTCTGACCAAGTTTCTGACTTCAGTTTTATTCTTTAGGGAAAAGCACTGGTGGTTTCATTAGACATTCAATTTAAACATGTTCTCGGCATCAGAGAAGAATGAATCCACAATGTGGTCCCTCAGACTGTGCTGGAAAGAAGAAGAATTGATGGATGACATTCAGCAGTCAGGTTGGCATCTTGTTCTCTCAATGAACACTACATTTCTGGTCTTCTTGATAGTTGAGAATGAGTTTCACTGTGAGAAAATTGTTTATGTACATAGATTAGAGCACATTTGTTCGATTTAATGAGGTAGACCCATGCCCAGTACCTGGGTTCAGGACATCTACTCAGGACTTGAGAGGAACTTTTAGTGAGAGTGTGAGAATCTAGTCATCATGGGTCATGCAGGTACCAATGACATAGTAAGGATCTCCATGCGCATAGATCACTGAAAGTTGCCATCCAGGTTGATAGCGTTGTTAAGAAGGCGTACAATATGTTAGGTTTTACTGGTAGAGGGATTGAGTTTCGGAGCCATGAGGTCATGTTGCAGCTGTACAAAACTCTGGTGCGGCCGCACTTGGAGTATTGTGTACAGTTCTGGTCACCGCATTATAGGAAGGATGTGGAAGCATTGGAAAGGGTGCAGAGGAGATTTACCAGGATGTTGCCTGGTATGGAGGG